TAAAAAATTTTGTACCTAAAGCTATGGAGTGTATACGAGGAGTGAAGACTCCATGTTACAAAAGTGAACCATATCTTAGGTCAAGTAAAGGTGGCGCTGATGTAAGTAGGGTATGAAAAAGACGCGCAAGAAATTTGTTGAGAGTATCAGCACTATACAACAGTGATTCCTTAAACTTTAATTTTAGTCATAAAACGGGATCTACATTCCTTGTCTACATTCTAGCGGTCAAAAAAGTCTCAATTTTTAATATGACTACTTTGCAATTCTAATAAAACAACCCCCAAAATGCCTTTCAGAACTGAAACTAGAAAATGATAATGCACATATGCCCAGATACATTTTGTAAAAGAAAACAAAATGAAAAAATTACAAAATTTGCAGGAAATAATCAAGACGATATTCCGAAACAATAACTATGCATCCGCCAAATAATACAGTTCTAAGTAATTTGCGCTTGAGAGCAAGAACTACATCGGATAATTCAGAATGGTTCCCAACAGTAGCGGCTTGTTAGAGGAGGCTGGGGAGGCTAAGCCTTTTTGATAGTATTGCAAAAGTCTTCTTTTAGTTTTTTTATTTTACATCATATAATTAATATTATTTAAGAAATTTTCATACAAATCTATTTTCATATGCAAATAATTAGGTACCTACTAAGGGAGATCTTGAGTACGTAAATATACGATTTTTAAATGTTCACTATTTTTCGCGCCCTCCGAATTCGCATTGTAGTCGCTGGCAGCGCAAGCCTCCAACCTTTATCAGTGTTCTATATGCTGCGAGACCTTGAAATGATGCCACGATATCTACATTCGAGTTTAACCAGTCGAGCACGGAGGCTTGTTGCCACCTTCCATCTCTTTTTAACAAGCGAATATATCAATTTTCTACCTCTGGAAATGTGAGAAAGCTGTGGATTTTCCACAAGCCAATTCTTTTACAAATAGTACCCTGAAAGGAGGTTATATTCTGCTAATCATTTTATTCATGTCACAAAAGCCTGGCCTACTACGATTTTTTAAAAGGGTAATTTTTCCAAAAAGTGATATTGGGCATTTTTTTATCAAAAAGATACTAATATTACCAGGTTATTCCACAACCATCAAAATACCCATATGCCAAATTTGAACGACAAATGTCTATTGAATGTTTTTTTGTGGTGCCAAACTTCGAAAAATCATAACTAAAAATTATAATAAGCAGGTCAAAGATTGCCATGAAAGTGAAAACAAGTACCAATCGGACAAAGAAAAAATACAGACACTATAAATTTAACACTTTTAATTACGGTCACAATAAAAATAATAATAAATTAACGTACAAAAAAATGTAGATAATGAATTATAACTATTAAGTTGTTAAACAAAAAATTGCAATACATTATAAATTAAATTTTAGTTTTCTCGAACTATGGACTTTTGGGGTTTTATAAAACAAAAAGTTTATAAAAACAGACCAAGGAATTTGGATGACCTAATGAATTGCATAAGACAAGCTTGTGCAGAGATTACTCCACAACAGCTATGTAAATTATTTTTAAATTTAAGAAGAGGATCGGAAGAATGTATTCGGCCGGAAGGAGGTTTGGTGGAGCAAACTAAAATTTAATTTAGATTAACATTTGGCAATTTTTTTGTTTAACAACTTAGTATTTATAATTCATTATATTTTTTGTAAGTTATTTTTATAATTAATTAATAATAATTAATTAATATAATTAAAAGTTATAAATGTATAGTGCCTGTATTTCTTCTTTGTCCGATTGGTAATTGTTTTCACTTTCATGGCAATCTTTGACTTGCTTATTATAATTTTTGTTATCTGATTTTTCGAAGTTTGGCACCACATAAAAAAACACTCAATAGACATTTGTCGTTCAAATTTAGTATATGGGTATTTTGATGGGTGTTGAATAGCCTGGTGATATTATCGATTAAAAAGGACCCTTTTAAAAAATTGTAGTAGGCCAGGATTTTATCACATCAATAAAATGATTATAAGAATATAACCTCCCTTCAGGGTACTATTTGTAAAAAAATTGGCTTGCGGAAAGTCAACAGCCTTTTCACATTTCCACCTGAAAAATGGAACACACTGTATGTATAAATAAAAAAAGTAAACTGAGATTGATGCAAACATTTTATAGTATAACTAATAATTCAAAAGTATGTTGCCAATAAACGTTTGTTCAAAATGCCTTCATGACGTCAATCGTTACTTAGGTATCATTAGCATTACTTGAATTTTTGTATTCTACAATACTATTACTATCTAAAAGCAAATTAATCAGTCTGTCAATATTGTTTTTCTGCTTTAGTCTTGACAATAAAGGAATTAAGTAATTGTGAAATTGTTCTATAAAAGTGAATTGTGGCTAAACTACATAAAATAAATCAAATAACTGTACAAAATTAAGATAATTATGTTATACATATTTTCAGACTACAAATTTTGACATGAAAACAAAAATGGTACATAAAAACAGAATACCTTATTTGCAATAATTATTTATTACTGTATAGCGAAATTTAGACACGTTTCAGATTTATAGAAGAAAAATATCACATTCATATTTTGCCCCAATTACCAGTTTAGCACATTGGGATTATACATTTTTCAGATTATCAAGAGAGTAAAAAAAGACACTTAATGAAAATAACTTTTCTTCTGGATAATAAAATTAACAATACAAATGTACAAAAACTGTAAATTATATATTTTTTCATTCATCTTTGATTTGGAAAGAAACTAACTGAACTCCATGCTGCATACAACAGGCGTGAATCTGTTTTTCAGATTACCCTGATCGATGCAATATGCGATAATGGATTATCAAGAAATAAAATCGATTTGGATTACCCTTATTTCAGTCTAAAGTTTCAGTAATCCAAAATACTCATTAGTATTCAGATTACCGAAGTTGTACTATAATTTGAAACTGTTAAAAATATTTATAAACTTGACTATTTTTAATATATTCACTAAAACTATCTACGTAACTAGTCCAAAACCACTGTCAAAATAAGCCTTTAAAACACTCGAGAATTATCGCCCAATTTTATCAGAACTTCCTGTAATGTTACTAAACATTAGACAAAGTTGTTCCGGAAACTGTGATACAAATACTTAATAATTATCTACAATTTCAACATTTAAGATATTACAGCTCATTAACAAACCTATATAAATTGCAAAATTGTATTTTGGAAACATTTTTTTTGCATATGCAATAAATACAAAAACTTCACATAATGTCCTTGTTTGCCCATTTTTTAAAATACAACTCTGTTCGAAATTGCAACAAAAATTTGGATAATAAGAAGGTGCCTCTAGAAGTTTCCGTACACACTAAAATACATTTAATTTTTACAAAGTAATAAAAATACATTGAATTCAATTTTCTGATACAATTTTTTTAATACTGATTAGAATGTCAGTAAAATCAGTACCTTTATTATCCTAATCAAACATTGGTGTACACAACATTGTCGTATTGATTATATTATAAGTACTTAAATCAAATCAGTGATGTAGGTGACAGTGAGCCATTGACTGGCATTATTTTATTTTTTCTAAATGTACCTTAGTGCATTGAAATCAATTTAAGTGAGTAACTTCCACACAAATATTTCTATGCTTAAATGCTAAAAAGAAATATGTTATACCAAGAAAAACTATCTTTTATCGCTTTATGCACTATAGTTTGTTTCTCAGAATAATTTTCAAAAAATGTGAAATGACAGTGTCATAAATTAATAAAACAATTTCATAATGTTGCAAAAACTGTACAATTTACAACAGTATCTAAATAAATATTTAATGTGACTAGAATATGATTAAATAATCATTAATCATATAATGTGATGACTCATAATTTTTATTCTATTGTAATAAAAAATAATCTGTGTGTCACTTACATATTTGATATTATATAAATAGAATCCCTCAGAGAAATTTAAACTGGATATTATAGCTTATGGAATAAAACTACTTTTAAACATTGAAAAAAAAGTTGTTTCTGTACAATATTTAGCATTTATATTTTTATTATTATTAGTTTTCAATGAACTTGAGACATTTCTTCCAAACCAGAGAACATTTACTGGATTCAAAATTAGCGTAAAAAAATTAATGAATGGGCTTCCTTGTGCAAGTTAGGAAAACTCTCTTAACATAAACAAATTTCCTACTAGAGAAGTTATAACACACATAATCTAAGTTTGATCCTTCTAGAATCTAGACAAACAGCGATTTAAACAGTTAAAAAAAAAAACAATGTCAAAGGGCCATCTTCAAAGAGCCTTTACCTCCCTTAGGTAGCATTTTTGAAGAAGACGATTTATGTTGAATCAATATGAAATCATCCTTAGAATTAGCTGCCTTCATTTATTGGTTTAGTTTCTGGACACACTGTATACTTCAATGCACCAGAAACAAAATTTTATTCACAACCGATTCACAGAGTTTTTTGGATCAGCAGCATAATATAATAACTCTAGATTTAATATCTTAACTTAAACAAATTGTTAGTTACGTAGTGTAAATAAATAACATGTTAACAAACCTATAAAGCTGCACTTAATGCTTGGAAAACTTATTCATGTGAGGTTTATTTATTTAAAAAGAAAAACCCCTTTTAAAAACCCTTTTCAATTTTCCACAAGGAATTAATCCATTTTTTGCACGAATGGAAATAATATATTTCATATACATACTTGTTATAGGTATATGTTATTAAACCTATAAATTCCCATTCTAAATATGATGCAAAGTAATATACAGTAAATTCTATAATTTTATAATAGTTTCTAAAAAGAAAAAGAAAACATCAAATTTTATAAACAACAACTACTAATACACTAAACAGATGAAAAAAGCATAAACTACACAATTTATAAGAAAGTATTCTGTGATTTATAGAGAAAAAGCAAGCATTCAAACAAAAACTTCAAAACAAAAATATCTACTCAAACAGAAAATTATTTTATGTAACATACCTATTGGTATTGGTGGAGGGTAATATGTCAGCACTAATGAAAATGAAAAAAATGTTAGTGTGAAAGTATTTTAAGATATTAATTATTAATTGTTATTAAGACAGAACAGTTCCCAGATTTACATTTAATACCACCACATACCAACAGCACTAATAAAACCACAATTCTATGCAAAATTAAAAAATCAATTTTAAGCTTTGCAAATTCTTTTTTTAAATAAAATTTAAACTGTTGCGACCACAGTAACAGATTAGATATTAAAGCCACATCTTTTGAGAACATAAAACCTTCACAACAAATCGAATTCAAACATAATGAATAATAGTAAAGTTTAAAACTACATTTTATTTTAGGAAGATCATTACTTGTTCATTTGTCCCAAATGGTACTCTCATTTGTTCTATTTGAATGATATAAATTAACAAGCACTAAATATCATTTATATTTACTCAAGAATCTAAAGATTAATGTTAATATGAGGGATATTTAAGATATACAGATATCTTAATTATAAAAGGGGCAAGGCAACAATATAAAATATATCATGAATTGTGGTTGTAAGGTTTTGACGGCCTATGATGATATTTAAAGCACAATGGTGTGCCGTGGCCTATACACCTGTCAACGTTAGTGAGAATTACCTCGCACCTCCTTTGAAATTTTTGACCAAACTTTGTTGTACCCGCTATCAGAACCCGCCCTGATGTACATATCGGTTCTTGTTAGTTATAAAGCCTCTAAGGACGTAACTCCTTCTCAGTCAATGATAATTCTCTGAGACATTCTGTAGTGACCTCTATAACTGATTGTATCTTATTCATCCAAACATTTCATCTTTATTCACTGCCGGCAACTTCAGTGGTGGACTGCAAATGCTTAGCTGTGATTCAATCGGAGCGATTCCATCCGGAGAGGTTTTGGAAACAACAACTAAAATGTACATCAGGGCAGGCCTAGACGTTCTGAAGGAAGTGCAACGTAATTCTGTAAGTGGGGCAACCAGGTACATAGACCATAGCATCGCAACCGAAAAAACCATCGTACTTTAAATATAGAGTGAGTCGGGAGAAGCACACCAAACTCCAAGAATGGAGTCTACACGTCAAAATAATAAGAAAAAACTCAAATATTGTTATGCAATTTTCATTTGTTTTCAAGCTATGACGTATATTTCAATAAAAAATAATAATTTATTGATATTCTATTAATCATAGCAACACCACCATTGACCTCTAAACACTTTCTACTTCATTTACAAAGGGTGTCTGTGGCTCTCCTGATTGCTGCATGTATTTCTTTAATAAGTGCTATAGTATTGATGATACGTTCACATTCTCATTTTTATAGGAACATACTCCAGTACTTAGTACTTTTAATTCATTTTGTAAAAAAATTAAGTAGTAGTCTCCTATGAGTCGATTCTCCAAACTGAAAGGGGTAATTAAATAACTATCGACGATACTACACCACACATTTACCGCAAACTGTGCTGAAAATTACTTTCAAGTGTTGTGTGAAGATTTTCGTCTGACCATACATGAGAATTCCGAGAATTAATAATGCTGTCACAGGTGAATGTTGCCTCATCCATAAAAAGTATGCTGGATACAACAAGATGATTATTCTTGATCCATCGACAGAACTTGATATGCTTAGCATAATCTTCAGGTTGTGGTACTGATAAAAGCCTTGCTTGTGAACGGTTTTTATTACCCTTTTTTTGTGGAATGTCCAACTGAGTAGCAATTCTTCGTGAGCTGGTAGTTGCATCATCTACTAGACTCAGAATATTTTCTACTCTAACTTTGACGATGAGTTCGTTCACATATTATATGTACTAACACTGATCCTAATAAACACATTTTTATCAGGACATATGTGACGGGGAAACCGTTGACGATATTTTTCAACAGCAGCATTAGCATTCTCATTACAAAAACCATAAATAAACACCATATTTGCATGCTCTAAAGAAGGATGCCAATTTTGGTCCCAGTACATCCGTCTTAGAAAGGTGTACTGTCCTACGTTTTTTGGTATGCTGATTACAAATATGCCTTCGTTTTGCTGTAAATTGAGCCGTTTCAGAAATAGAGAGGTAAACAGAACGTGTGCACTATAAGGAAAGAGCGACACTCGCAGGAGGAACAATATTTTCTGTATATTCTTATAGATTTAGATAAGGCAGGTCTAGAAGTCATTCGTGGCTACTGTTGTCAATGTAAGAACGGACTTAGAATGGTAGGATGTCATGAGAGTTATTTGGTATTTAGGATATGGGCAATACCAAGAAACAATACCCACCGAAGATTCATCGCTAATGTCAGTTTTGCAAGAGTAATCTGACGAATATAACTAATAAAAAAATACGAAGTATTAAATGATATTAAACGTCTTAAACTTTAGAGTACCCTAGGTGGTAAATCATCTACGGCAAAAATACTTTTTTGAAATTACTGAAGAATTCGTGATGAGTAGAGCCAAACTGAGGTCAGATTCGGTTTTGCGGACCAAAATATATGAAAATACCATGGTTTAGTCCGTTGCGCATAACTTTTTTCATGAAAATTGCATAATTGAGTTTTTTCTTAATACTTTTACATGTAGAATCCATTTCTAGAGTTTGATGTGATCTTCCCGACTCACCCTGTATAATGAATTGTTTTCCATTTTTGAAATACTCTCAATTGACGAATCACAAATTGTTTAATAATCCTTTAGGACTTATCATTTGTATTAAAGATTTTAGATGGATAGTCCGTGCTGCCAAATTAAAAAAAATTAATAAAATTTTAGTAACTTTGATTATTAAACTAATATAAAACTGAGGGTAATTTGGCAAAAATTGCAGTCATTTTTAATTCAGTATAATTTTTTTAAATTTTCTTTCCAACTAGTTTCGGTTATTATCTTTATCTTCATCTTCAGGCAAGAAGAAACTATAATATATATATTTCTTCCCTGAAAATGGCAAAACAGCCAAAAATGAATTAAAGAAGATTATAATTTTTTCCCAATTACTCCTGCTGCTATTCAGTATCATATGGATTTTCATCAAGAAGTTAAAATAAAACAAATTGTGTTGTTTTCTCTAAAGAAACATTTGAATTTCATTTACCATAAAAAGGTGCAGATGAAATGTAAATATTTTTTAATCAAATATTAAAAATATTCATACTGTTCGGTATTATCTTCCTAAATCCAAAAGCAATTACACAATTACATATTACACTAGAATTATTTACCTGGTTGTGGGTGAGGTGTATGTGTAGGGTAAGGTGGAGTATGTGTTGCAAACCCTGGAGCAGCTGGACCGCAAGTTTGTGGAATAGGATGTCGATCAGCTATAGGATATGGAGGCGCAACAACCGCAGAAGAGTGTTGAGTGGTTACTGTCACATTTGGTCCTTCTGTAAAAAATATTAATCACCTTATGCCACAAAAAAAGCTAAAGGCCAGTATTTTGAGCATTGATTAAGTTACGAGTTAACATATCTAAAATAATGCAAAATCTAACTATCTGATTAGTTAACCAAGTCTTAACCACTATTCAAAATACCTGCCTTAAAAGTAACATTAAAATGGGTACTACAAAAAAATATTTCAGATTTTATAACTTTATATAAACTGATGTGCAAAACCCTTGGCTCCACTCACCCAGGATGTTTCAAAATGAACTACTCGACATATTGTATAGAGTAGAGCAACCTAGGCTAATACAGAATGATCATTTAAAAAAGTCAAATTAACTCGACTTGCAAAATTCTTTTGAAAAACATATGTGGGCTCCTCGTAGCTGACTTTAACATCTGTAAAGTGTTTACAGCAGTGATCACGGTTACCGTTGCGAAGCAGTGAAAGACGGAGTGGGAATAAAGCATATTTACTATGCAGTTTGGGCTCTGTTTAGTCCGCCCTCAACCAAATAATAGCTATTCATCGCTTTTTTTTCTTAATAAACTTAATTTGTTCAGGTGTGGTGTAAAAATTTTGTTACATATTGTTTCTTGTATGTTTTTTAAAAAATTGTAGAAGTTTAAGTTGATTGTAACATGTAAACATGTGAAATTTTGTTACTTACATATTGTTTCTTGTACGTTTTTTTTTAAATTGTAGAAGTTTAAGTTGATTGTAACACTTGCAATGATATCTATTGAAAAATCAAGGCTGCGAGAAATACCAAACTTTAATAAAAACGTAACTGAAAAGTTTATTTCGGATAAAAACAGAAGAATGAATTTTCACCATAAGAAATAGTGTTGAGAACAGTATCCCTACAGTACTTAAAATAAAACTACCCAATTATATTTGATTTTTTTTTCAATACTTTGAACCTAAATTTTTCCGCCCTACCTGATATGGAAGTCAAGAGCCGAAACTGAAATGAACTGAAGTGAACTGAAGTGAGGTGAACTGAACTTTACATAAAAAAGGTGTTCTTGACAATTTCAGACCTATATCTATAGTAGGTACTCAGTAAAGTCTTTGAAATAATTATCAAGAATTGTTAAATACTGTGAAGAAATGAATATTTTCTGACATGCTCAATTCCGTTTTCGTAAAGATAAATCTACTGTCAAGGCATTATTGAAATTAGTGGATAAGATAGTAGATGGATTCGATAAGGTAATGCCTACAATGGCTACTATGTGTGACCACACTAAAGCCTTCGATTATGTTAATCTTAATATCTTGCTAAAAAAAATTATATATTATAGAGGTAATACACAAAATTTGCTATTCTCGTATTTATCCTACAAACAACATGTTAGCAGGTCTACTCCCCATAAATAACGGAGTCCCTCAAGACTCTGTTTTGGATCCAATTTTATTTCTCGTTTATATTAAAGATTTACCTTTTTCTGTTGGAGAAGAATCATGTATTTGGTTGGCTGATGATATGACACTCGTCAGCCCATTTCTAAAATTGAGCAATGACTGTGTACTGACGGCTAGAAATTATTTCTCATCAAATCAATTAAAATTAAACAATACCAAGACAAAAAATTTATTATTCACTTCACATAAATAAAAAAACTAGTGCCAAATTATTCATACCATATAATTTAAGGGATGAAATGAGGTCAGTTAGGGAATAAAAAAAATCATTTCTGGGGTGAATGCCGTTCACCAAATTTTCAGAGAAATTAGCAAAAAATTGTGGCCAATCGCCCCACAAGCCTTCATTGGGAATGAAATGGGGTAGCAGCCACGGGGCAAATTATTTAATTTGTCGGAAACTGTTCACTGTAACACCACCAAATTTTCATAGAAAACTACTACAATTGTAGTCCATTTGATGATATACATCAAATCACCCCACAAGGCTTCAGTGGGGATGAAAAGGGATAGCAGCCACAGGGCAAATTATTTAATTTCTCGAAAACTGTTCACTGTAACACCACCAAATTTTCACAGAAAACTACTACAATTGTAGTCCATTTGATGATATACATTAAATCACCCCACAAGCCTTCATTGGGGATGAAAAGGGTTAGCAGCCACAGGGCAAATTATTTAATTTCTCGGAAACTGTTCACTGTAACACCACCAAATTTTCACAGAAATCTACTACAATTGTAGTCCATTTGATGATATACATCAAATCGCCCCACAAGCCTTCATTGAAAAGTGAAAAGTTGAAAAGTACTTCCAAAAAATAGGCCCCTTGTGATGATAATAGTTTAAATAACTAGGTGGATTTCACAGGGTCTAACGACACTTAGAGTGCACGATAATTCTATAAATATAGAAATCTAAATAAAAAATTTAGATAAATTTGGAACAAATACATTGAAGATGAATTTTTCGAGATAAAAAGTCTGAATCTGGCAGTAGCAATGGCTGAGGTAGTACGGTATTGGGGGTCATGAAAGCTTGCAAAAAATGTAATAAAATTTTCAGGGTCGTATTTAAAAAAATGAAGTTCATGATGGTCCTGAAGAGACAAAACGTTACATATAAAAATTGATTATGCCATTCAATAGAGGTCAAAAAATTGCCATGAGAAAGTTGGTCCCCTGATTATGCAACTTTGCCCCCATTTGAGCTACTTCGTATCTATTACCGTTTTGGAGATCCCTGTAGTGAAAAGCGAATTTGTAACAGCCTGATTTTTGAAACTCTATTGCAAATGCACTGTAATAGAAGTAAGTTTTGTAAACGCTCTGATATTCACTCATATAATACAAGGAATGCTGGTAATTTTGTTACGGACTTTTCCAGAATTCGTATTACTGAGAATAATAAATTGAATATTCCATTATAGAACCTCATTGCACATCATTTTAAGGATATTAACATGGATGAGTCAAGTTTTAACGAATTACACAAATTGTGTAATTTTTTTTTATTAAATAGGTAATTGTTTTTCTATCACTTTTTATAAATTAATTGTGACTAAAAACTTACTATGTAAGTAAAAATGGTTAATAAATAAATGGTAAGGATCATTATCATTATTATTTTGAAATATTCATCTAATTACAAAACACATTTTTATTAATTTGCAAAGCATTTTCAATGGAATTAGATTTTTTACACACTTTAAATCTGTACCAACTACATGTGTGATGTATCGAAGTTTCTTGGCAGTAAAAAGAGACAATACTGTTGATACTGGTACTGGAATAATGAGACGATTAAGTAATGTTGAGACAGTAACGCGATACCAATGTTTGTTATAAGTAGTGATACTACAGATAATGTGTCTGGCATACATTATACTAAGAGTCACATACACACTGCGATTGGTAATGTAATATTATGGGGCCCATTATTAGAACTTCAACAAACAAGAAATATAATTATTAGTTTCTATTACGTAGGTAATTAACTTAGGAATTAATTTAAGTTCACAACAGTGAACTACCTATAAACGTAATTTTCTTACATACTACTTTTACTTTAAGAAATCAGTTTTTCCAAAATATTTTTTTAATGTAGAATTAATATTTTTCGTACATAAAAGCATTGCAGTATTAACAAAAAAAAACTAACAATATTTTAGATAATGATAATATATGCAAATCATTTAATACAAATTTGTGACAAAAATTAATAGATGTAAAAATTGGAGTAAAAATATTATAAAAAGACAACTATAGTAACAGTGGTAACAAATACAGTAACACTGGTAATACTAACTAAACAATGCGGAAAAAATGTACTTACGTCCATACACGGTACCTTCACGTTTTCTTTTACAACACCAACCACATATTGCAAATAATATCAAAAAAATAACACATATTGCGATTGGCATAAATACATCCATTTTATGTTGTATTAATAAAACAAATTATGAATGAGCATTCCCAGCTCACGGCTACTTTAAATTTTCTGTTCACGACACAGCATACCAGCAAAATTTTTCCCAAAACAATTCTCAGAAATTCCAGCAGTTCTCTTCACTATTATTGTTTGCAACTTAATGTTAAAAAAAATAGTAAACAAGATAATCTAAAAAAAATAATCTGCAAGATATTGTTTCTTAAATATTGAAATCAAAACTAATAATGTAAAAAATGTGACGACATATCAAATGACCAAAATGACAGAATATTATAATATTAACATAAATATATGACAGAAGTCACAGATATCGCAGAATACACACTCAGTACTCACTAAACAAATTTAACTAACGGATTAGTTTGCACGTGCAGTGTTACCATTCAGCACTATATTGGTTAAATCCTTCGAGCATAATATACCTACTAGAGGCAGCCTTCAATGCTAAATGAGCGAACAGACGTGCGAGAGAGAAAGCATATAAAACAGCAAGCTATCTCTATCACTCCGTAATGTGTGGTGCTGGAGAGGAATCACGGGGTCTGATTCTCAACCAATAAAATTTACGGAGTGAGAGAGATAGCGAGTAGTTTCATTTGCTTTCTTTCTCGCATGTCTGCTCGCTCATTTAGCATTGAAGGCTGTCTCTAGTAGTAGGTATATGCTCGAAGGTTAAATCGGTTCACATACTTCTATGCGGGTTTGATATTTTCACGAGAAATTTAGTGAACCTGGTTAAAATGAGATTAGAGATTCCCATAGACCTAGTATTAGGTCTATGGAGATACCTAAACACAAAACAAAATAATTTTTGCGAGATCCTTCAAGTGGCTAACTCTAACCTTTAACACAAGGAACGTGAAACTAACCAAGTTAGGTCGCCAAAAAACCTTAATAGTTTTTATAATCTAGGTTTTTCTTTTACAATTTTGTATAGGTGAAGAATTCAATATTTTCTATACGCGCGCCATTATTCCATGGCTAGAAATTGGCCTCAATGATTTGGGATCGAGGGGGATTATCCCTCTTTATCCTGCCTCATCTCGTGTAGGCCTGGACAGCCTTCGTAGGTGGGCCCCATCCGTCGTCTACCCCGACCGCAAATGCGGCCGGTGTAGGCGCTTTGTGGGACCTCCTTTTGTCCTGGCTGGGCCCCGCCGGCTAGGGCCCTTTCTTCTGGCGCTCTTCTTGCTTCGCCGGCTCGTCTATGTAAACCCCGGGGGGTAGTGCGACTATGCAGCCTGGGATACGCTTTGCTAAGATGGCCTTTAGGCTAGCGCGGGAGTGGAGGGGTAAGGAGTGTATGGGAGGTGTGTATGTGTGCGTGTGTGTGCGTGTGTGTGTGCGTGTGTGTGTGTATGTGTGTGTGTATGTGTGTCTGTATGTGTGTGTATGTGTGTGTGTATGTGTGTGTGTATGTGTGTGTGTATGTGTGTGTGTATGTGTGTGTGTATGTGTGTGTGTGTAT